AAGCGAAAAAAGTATTATGGTTTAGTTAAGACGCAATGAGTTATCAATATGGAATCGAAAATATACAATCAAAGTTCATTATTGAACGGGCGATACATTCTGAATATATAAAAACCGTGAAAAATAAATGTATTATTATAATAAATCATTGTTATATCATTTAATTATATGATAAATAGGTGTCGACACATTTGATTTGCTTACAAGTTGTAAATCTTTAATTGTAATATAATCGGAAGAAATTATATTTTATATATATGTATTTCTCGACAAATAATAAAACAACATATGAAGCGGATCGCGCCGCTACTTTCCGCTCGAGTCTTGCCACGCGAATGACAACAAAGCGACCGCGTATAAACAGTAGCGTGTAGTAAGCTAAACATCATAAAATACAAGGTCAAAACATACCGTGTAAGAGTTATTTCATTGCCACCACGCAATATTTAATCACGAGAAATAAGATTAGACAGAATATCCTCTTAAACTGAATCAGTGAAAATGTCACTGATTAAAGCAGTGACATAAGTATTATATTATAAAATATATTTTGAAGTATCACACTAATTGAAACAGCCACTATCATTAACTGACTTTTTCAATGAGATTTCAGTGCTATACTTGTAAATCAATAAGACCATCAATGATTATCCAATGTTTTTTAATGATATACTGATTCCATATAATTTAAGAGAATCTATTCCTTAATTTCTTTCCAAATTAATAACGAATGATGTACATATTATCAGTTTTCGTTATCTCAATCACTTGATTCGTGTATAATTATTGCGTTTTTAAAAATGATTAGCAAATTAATTATTTTAAATCTACGACAAAAAGCTTACGACATATTTTTGAAATCAAGTATCGTTAAAAAAGCAGTTATCGCCTACATAAATCTCGCAATGAAAGAAGGACTTATAATTCTCATCTTCTATCATTTTGAATCTTACATCAAGAGAAAAAGTTACACGAATTATCTTCCATAAATAAACATCTTCGATTACGAGTCGTTAATCGCGAAAATCAATTAATTACACCAGTTGATAATTGTAATAATCGTATTTCGAGAGATATAATACGACACGTTGTCTCGATCATTCGCGGGATGATAATCTGTGCGTAGAGAATAATCGCATTTATCACGTTTTAATACTTTGTCGTGATTGTATTTAGCGAGATAATACGACGTTACACGGATCGCTTTGTGCTATTATCTATCTGCCCGAGTGTCGTCGCGAATGACAAGTGAGGTGACTGCATATAAACAGCCACGCCGCCGAATGTTATGACGTAAACGCGTTACGTTACAAAGCAAATATTTTGTGATATCTATATATTTCAAATAAGAATCAACGCGAACAGGAAATACAAATTATGAATCATTATTTTAGTGCCCTTTTAAGAGCGATAATTATTTCCTTAACGATGATTGGATTGCTCCTAATTTCGGATCAAAAGCGCAGAATAATACATGAATCTCGGCATCAAAAATTTCAAATAACGAAAAGTGATACGTCAACCTTTTGTTAATAATCAATTCGAGAAATATAGAAGCAATAAAATAATCTTTATGATATTATTTTATAGTACGTTGAATATTTCAAATTATGACAGCGACGAGTTAAATACCACATGACCTCCGCATAATTTCACGGCGTATACTTACTATCGTTAACAAGTGCTCGTTTTATTATCATGCGCACGACGAGGCACAATATCATTTTTTCTGATTATTACAATTAACAATTCAACGATTAACGACTCATAAGCGTGTTAAAATGATGGCTATTTTTCGAAGCAGTTATTTCGTCTGACTCAAAATGGAAAACGAAAAGTGAAATAAAACATGATAATTTTAAATTATATATAATTATAAATTATTATCACATCTGACGATATATAAAATGGTAATTATTTCATTAATGATCAACTTTGAATATATCTCGCTTTGCGTTGCAACTATTTTTCAATATAAATATGATTTGCTTATAATTATCAAATCGAAACTATGAATTAATACATACATACATATGTCATCGAATAAAATAAAATGACTTGATTAACAAAAAGATTTGATATAACTGATATAAATGATATAATGATTTTTTAATTGATTTTTAAATTGATTTTTAAATTGATTTTTTGATACTCACAATATTTGATTGCATACATTCACATCAACATTTTGATGCCGCAAATAATCGCATGAAACACACTGTAAACGAACGCGAAACGATTGTCTTTTCCCTTCAATTCCATTAGAACAATGTAGTTCGATTTCGAGATTTCGTTAGCTGAAAAATTGGCGTGCAAATATACATCGTGATGGATATACTTATTGTTAGTTCGTGTAACACAAGCGGAATTTCGGAATCTGATTACAGTGCTTTTTCATTTCCGGAATCGGAAATGAAAAATTTTATCGCTTTGTGGTTGGTTTTTTGTTTTCCACGGTTATATGTAGCGTCGGGACGTCGGGACACTTTGTGATACAAATATAATCGCGATCGAGCACACATTACAAGTGTTGAATAAATGAAATCAGTTATAAGTAACATTCAATCAGTTGTAATTGCTATGGTCAGAATAATATTACGGTAAGATTACGATTATTACATAGATTACGATTTATATTTTTGAACATATTTAATAATATATATATACATTAACACGCAGCGTCTCAATTTGCGTATGCAAGATGTAATGATTAATAATCTTCAAATGAAGTTATTGCGTTTCACACAGCTGTATTGCATAGAATATAATATAACTCTTTTATTTTATCAGATTGTATAGAGACGAAAATTTGGAAAAGCTAATACACACTGAACGCACCGTTTCATTTTTTTGTTCCTCTATCGACTTCTGTTCTTTTTGAAAACGGGCGCTTATCTCATCGTTTCGCAGAGATCTCGTGTTCGATGTAATATTATACGTCGTCATATATATGACGAATTAACTCGCTTGTAGCCGCGCTGTCATACATGGCATATAAACAAAGCGGCCGGTCTCGCTACCGAGAACCCCCCCCCCCCCCTCTCCGGCCCTCTCGCGCGAGATGTATACTCTCATTTTTTGGAATATATTCTCCCGCTTATGTTAGTATTGCCTAGACTATCGCGAGAATTAGATCGTGAACTTTCCGTTTAACTTTATTATAAATTATAATATATGATCATTGTGTTATTTACGCAATCTGTCGTATAATAGTATCGTGAGTGATAAATCAAGTTTCTAAATGAATATTACAACGGGTTATTAGTATAACTAGTGACAAGAACTATATCACATATTCATGTTCTTTATTCAATATACGCGAAGAAATTAAAACGAATGATTCACACAGTGAATATACGCGTAGTATAAATCCGAAATCGCGAATGTCGAGCTGTCCTAATGAAACGGGAAATCGATATGTTTAGTCGTGTCCGCGCTTGTATACGGTGTGTTGTGCGCTGTCATTTGTGGCGTCGGGACGTTTGTGATACAGATGTAATCGCGATCGAGTATCGTGAGTGTCGAAGAAACCGAATCAGTTGGTCGTTGCGATCATAAATATTACGGTACGACATTACAGTCATAAGAATCGCATGGAATGACGATTTTAGATTATTGAAAATATATATCGCGTATCCGTAAGTAAACGTGTAGTAGCCGAAAGAAGGATCGCGGACGAGCGTTTTATTATATATATTCGTAGATACAATATATCCCGTAAATCCGATAGTTCCGCGATTTCCACGCAGTTTCGAAGAAATAAAATTACCGAGAAGTTATACGAGAATAAATATTGTGCCTGCGAGTAAAAGTGTGTGCGTGTAATAGCGAGAGTGTTGAGAAATGTATCGGGAATACCGAAAAAAAGTTATCGTGATTGTTGTAAGAATGGAATTACGTCCATCGCTGGAATTAATGCTGTCATCGCTACGGACATAATTATATTACGGTACGATATTACGATTACAAAAATTACTTGTCTCTCAATACATTCGAATTACGATTTTATGTTGAGAATAAATATCGCGTCTGCAAAGTAAAAGCTTGTAATATCGGGTGTACCGAAAATAATATCGGGCGATTGTTGTATTAGATAGACATATTAGCTCTCTCTTTCTCTCTCTTCTTCTCTTTCTCTTTCTCCCTCTCCCCCCTCATCTCTCTCTCTCTCTCTCCCTCTCTCTCTCTCTCTCTCCCTCTCTCTCTCCCTCTCTCTCTCTCTCTCTCTCTCCCTTTCTCTCTTCTCCCCCTCCCTTTCTTTTTCTTTCTCTCTCCTCTTTCTCTCTCTCCCTCTCCTCTTTCTCTCTCCCCTCCCCTCTCCCTCTTTCTCTCTATTTCTATTATTCTATCTCGAATATACATTCGTGTCGTTTCAAATACAGAGATTAAGGACGTAAGGAGATATGAAGGGGGGGGGGGGGGAAAAAAATTT